CATTACAATGTTACCAGTAGTTTCGACATAATCGTAAAAAATGTGTATACATTTTTTTTTCAATACCCTGTATCTTGAAAACGGATGCCGTTACGAAATTTTTTACTAAGCAAACCCAACTTATTTTGCAGTGTTCTACCAATCCTAGAAACGTGGCCAACTTTTTATGAAGCACCCTGTATATATTAATACTAATTTTTGGAGCAACGAAAAATAATAATTGTTGAGAGATATTGTAATTTTCATATTATTGTTTAAATAAACTATGTATCAAAATATAATTTTAATAGGTACTATATCTGCTCCCCAAAAGGAAGAATATAAAAAAATTTCGAATGCTACAGCTGTGTCAAGAATGTAATATAAACAATATTACTGTCAGGGGTGTAGCTACCTTAAGGAGAAAAAATGATAATTTGAAAAAAGGAACAAAAAAATACGCTGATGAAAAATTATATATGCGAGAGACTGGCGGTGGACCATCAAAAGCCATAAACATTGATTTACTGGATAAATGACCAAAATAAATTTTAGAAACTCCTGTTACAGAGATATAATCAGAATTAATGAGTCCAGTGAAGAATACGGATCCGCGAATTCCGAAGATTATGAAGAATTGTGAAAAAAAGAGCCAAAATATTTACATTTTTGTTCAATAATGGATAACGAAACATACTTTGAAATTAGGGTTTTTTGTTCTTGCATGTAAGTCTCATGTGCAATAAAGTTTTCTGTAATGTAATAGACAATTTGAGTGATTCAATACCTATCACCATTTTATTTAGATACAAAAATAGAAGTATAAAAAATAACCATAGACTTCTTTATTTTCAAAATGGCGACCATTTAAATATTTCAAAGCTAAATAGCTAAATATTGAAATAGCCGCCATTTTGAAAAAATTAAGTAAAGTCAATGGTTCTTTTTTATACTTTTATCTTTGCATTTTAAATATTTTTGCAAAATTTCATTAAAATACCATCATAAAATAAATAATAAAGTTATAAATTATATTAAATGAAAAATACAAAATTCAACCGCCATCTTGGATTTTGGATTTTGGATATTGAGTATTGTTAAAAAAGACACAGTATAATGCAAAAAGAATAATTTTTATGGCAATTTAACCCAGTTCAAGGGAATGTTTACAACATTTTGACTGTACTATCAGTTTATGTAGGTACAGCAAAATGATTAAATTTTAATGGCTGAATTTGTACAATTGACGAGAACTACATATAGATTTATAAAGTATTACATATATTTGTGATATTTATTAGTGAACCATAAATAGGTTTAAAATGTCTAAGGAAACACGGAAAGCAGCGTTACATGTTTTGGTGTGGCGTTAGCGAACAAGAAGAACTTTGACCGTATTATTATATAGAGTGAGAGATGTTTCACGTTCATAGCCTCCCTGGATTTAAAAAGAAACTGAACAGCATACAATGCTGTAGAAAATATACATATTAATTAGATATTGCTTATTTTTATTAACTAATGAATATTATAAGAGTAACGAAAATCAACACAAGCAACTATTCATTAACCAAAGTGCAGGAAATTCATTCCTACTGTTTCACATGATGAAAAAGGTTCCATCTACATTTTAATCCATGTTCCTTCATAAGTTTGCATTATTTCGTATTATCCTCGAATCATTTCTAAATATCAAATTATGTTATTTACTTTCCCACTACAAGCTCTATAATTGTTTTGAGAACCGCCACTGCTTTTAATGGCAGACGGTAAGTGAGCTATATTTTCTTATCTTCCCGTCTTTAGTCGAATTTCCCATTGTAATACCAGAATTCATGGAAACTGAGGTAGGTAGGAAAGTAGCTATATTAATATTAATTCGAGAGAAGGATCACGTTACTTCGTAAATTATTGAGCTACTGTACAGCGGAGGTTAATTATTGTTTTACTTTTTATGTGTAAACATTAAGCGTTCAAATTAACCTTAGTTTCATGCTTCGTTCGGTCCCAAACTGAATAATTTAGGTGACTAACTACCAAAATAAAACGAAAGTGTCTAAAAGGAATATTTAGGGGTTGTAGAAATTACTTTTTACTGGTTTAAATACAGCTATACAGGACAATGTAGAAACTTCTTGTCACTGATTTAAAACCGGCAAAAATTACTTTTAACTGCTCTAAGAACCATGTAAGAAAAACTTAAAACGAAGGATACGAACATGTCGAAAATGCCTCCATAAGCGATGATCGATGACCGATAAGCGATGATTATGTGGATATCAATCGATGCAATAAAAACATTTTAATTTATGAATGAGAGCATATAAAGGGTGGTCCATACAGTGGTTTTTCTTTAAAAATAAAAAAAAAAAAATAACAAAATACAATTTTGTTCTGTATAATATTGGTTTATTTGAAAGAGCAAACATTTCCATTATTTATGAAACACGATTTCATTCATGTGGCTGCCTCGGCTGGCTTCGCAGTAATTCATCCTGTTAACCCAATTTTCCAAGACATTGGTGACAGTTTCTGGCTCTCATGAATGGCTTCCTAGATATTCGCCTTAAGGGCCTGAATTGTAAATGGATTATTGGCGTAACGTCGATCCTTTACGGCACCCCACAAAAAAAGTATAAAGGCATTAAATCGCAGCTGTGAGGTGGCCAACTGACATCGCCGAAACGGCTGCGGCTGATAACACGATTATCGAAGTTGATGCGCAAAAGATCGATTGTGGCATGGGCTGTTTGGTATGGTGCGCTATCCTGCTGAAACCAAGTCCATATCTTTAATTTCCGGCCACAGAAATTTTTTTATCATGCGCCAGCAGCATTTTCAAAGAAAAATAGGCAAATGATGCCACCGCTCCAAAATCCGCACCAAACTGCTACTCTCTGAGGATGCATTGGCTTCTCGACGATCACGTGCCGGTTTTCCGATCTCCCAAGTGCGGCAGTTTGGCTTGCTAACAAAGCCGCCGAGATGAATATGAAGATGGTTTTTTAAGCAAAATCATTGTCCATATCGAGCTGCTCTAAGAAGGGTACAGATCTGAGCACGTACGCGTATGAGGCAAGCTGAGGACGCATGAGCATGCAGATGTGGACGGGCTTCCGAGGCGCGGCAAATTGCCTCGTTGTGTGCGGCGTATGGCCTCGCCCCGATCCGTTTATTGGTGGTACATCAAAGGGAGGCAGTGCACAGTATGTGCTCAGTCTGGACGGGAAATTTGTACCATACAGTACCGTACAGATTATAGCAAGTTTTTAGGATTTATTTTGCATGGAATAAAATCAAGAAAACGTTTTACTTCTCCTGGATTTAAATATTCAGCGTGATATATTAAGAGAGCAAAGCGCCAGTTCTATTACAACATCATAAAAAAAGAATATCCTTGGCAGGAAATTGGCCATCGATTCCTTTCTCTCCTTTTTTCTTAAAGTGTCAGATAGAATAATAAAGCATGCACTCAACTCCTCGACGTCATCCTTATCCTTCATTTTTTGTTTTATGGTTCTGGGTATACGCTTGTGTGCTCGCGAATTTACTGGATCAGTGGTGAACAGTGCCTCGTGCGTCCACCATTCGCGTATACAAAATGCGTCGCACGAGGCATTCGGTTCGACCTCTGCTTGCCTCATACGTGTACGTGCTCAGATCTGTACCCGCCTTAAGTCCAAACTGAGAAGCGATAACGTATCGGATGGTCGTGTACCTTCAAATGCAGAGTCAAGAAATTCTATTGAGATTCCAAAACACCAAACACAACAATTTAAAAACTCGTTTTCATACCAGATAGCAAAGGAGTATTATAATATTCCTGTTTCCCTAATTAATTTATCCATCATTTAAAACAAAAATGTTTAAAATATTATATAATGACCAATGCACAAATTTGTAAGTTTGTAATTTGATTTTGTTTGGTTTATATAAGGCTACATAAATTACTAGGATCCATCTGCACTGCTCGTCGTTATTACCTTTCCTTAAAAAAATAAAAGTCTTTTGTTTCTTTTGTTTCTTGATGACCAGCGATGCAAATGGCCCATAGTACTTTTTTTGTTTGTTTTAGTTTTGTTTATTATATACATGTGTTACACCCTATTAGATTAGTTTAGATTACATTTGCAGGCCTTTGAGGAAGAACAGCTTGAGCTGATCTTAGGACCTTTTGACCATATTTATTTCTGGTACTTTAATTTTTTTTTAAATTGTATTTTATTTTTTTTTAAATCTTGTATTTTAAATGGTCAATAAATATTATTATTATTAATATTAATTGGAAAGGTCCGCAGCTACATTATATTAACGTTTTGACCAATAGTTTCGCAGATACTGGCCAATGAATGTCCCATTCGCTAAACGATCGTCTTCGTATATTACCCATTGAAAGTTTCTGTTTTCTATCTTCTTTTGACGTATACCAAAGGCCATTTTTAAGATTGTTAGGAAAAATGATGAATAGTGATGTTGAAAAAGTAACTATTCGTTACTTGAAGATACCCAAAGTAACGAACCAAAAACCAAATGATTACACTGATTACTCGTGTACTACGGTTCGCGGTGGAGACAAACATAAACAACTATTAAATGCAACAATTAATATAATAATTTAATAAGGACAGCCTTGTTACAACTATTCATTTTTCGTAACAGTCTTGAAAAAGACCCTTGGTATAATAGTTCAAAACAAGATAGAAAATAGAAACTTCCAATGAGTAAAATACGAAGACGATCGTTTAGCGAATGATACATTTATTGGCCAGTTTCTTGGAAACTATTGGTTATTGGACTTTGGTGGTGCAATAGTAACTTTTAATCAGTATCTTTGGTATATACACCAATAATCTGCTAAATCGCTCTGCTTATCGGTTATCGATCATCGCTCATCAAGGCAACTTCAGCATGTATTTCCTACACAGGTGTCTGTCGTTTATTTTTAAATATTCTTGTAACACCTCATAGTATTCAAATATTAATTATTAATATTATAATTTAAATAATAATTGTCTAGTTACCTTAGAACAGAACCACAATTTTTATCACAAGCAGCACATTTTGCCGAAACAGGTAGGTTTCCTTCCATCCACTGGTGAGGCATCATTATTGACTGAAAAAAAGAGAGATATTAGTTTAAGTATATATGAACTAATAGAAAAGTTGAAATATCTTTTTAAGTAGGTAAATTTCTTAACACAACAAATTAAAATTGCAAAATAGTATTCAACATGCTAAAATTTGTCGTTGTGTATGTGAAGTTATGATTAGAAAAATAAAATGCTATTAATTAATTCCTCTTTTATTTAATGCAATAAACAGGGCGTTGAAAAAGTATCGTTCGTGATTTTAATTCAGTGTAATATAATAGTTATCTCTTGTTAAGTAATATACTATTATCATTATTGTTTAAACTAATATAACATTATGAATGTCAATTTTTAGTTGAGTTATTATAAATAAATTACAGCATCTGTCTATAATATCCATAGGTCCGCTTGCACTAGAAAGTGGGCGTGGCAAAGCGAAGTGAAACATCAAGATCACTTATCGTATATTTTTAAAATCATAAATATAAATGGTTAGAAAAAAAAATGGTTGTAAGAATACTTCAGCAGTTTCGGCACACCGCTGTTGACTTTAAATCTACTTCGCAGCATTTATTTCAGTGTAGCATGACGTCATCCACCGTATTATTATGGCCGCTATGTGACGTTACCACTTTAGATATGACGTAGAGAAAGCTTGCCTCAAACAAGCGGAATGAAATGAGTTTACCGCTTTACTGGGGGCATTATAGATTAACAGCCCAATCAATTTCTGTTGATCTGTCCAATACAAATGCCTAACTACATAGGTATACTGATATTACAATATTCTAGGCAGGCGGCAGGCTCTTACTACTTTCCGTAAAGACGGATTAATTTCACTTATTACTTTTATTATATTTGAAAATTGAAAACAATGGTTATTTAAATGAGAATATATTTTAGTATTTAGACGTTGTTCGTAGTAATAGTAGCAACAGCAGCTAGGTAGATCGTTTCTATTTTCAAGACCGACTGTTTTGATTAAAGTGCCTTGACTTATAAACGATTTTAGGCATAAGTAAATATACACTGCCCTAACTGCAGGTAAATGTTTTTTTTAAACAGTGTTTCAAAAACATATACTTATAAAACCCCTTAATCCATTGTCCAAACAACGCAAAGATATGTTAACGTAGACAACGAATAAAATATCTTAATCAAATAAACCATAATTGATGTATGTATATACAGATATTATATTTTACGACTGTGTAAATATTATCTATACTCATATTTATCGATCTATTAATACAAGGATTATTACTTTGTGGTTGAAAATCCCATTTGTTTACTGACATTATCTACCAATAAATTATGTTTTTCCGAAACCGTTGACTTATCAGGATCACGATATGTTCCAAAAAAAAAAACAATATAATTGAAATATTCGTAATATTTTTTTTCTAAATATGCCTCCTAGGATTAGTTAATGAATAAATCCTTTCATGACAAAAAATGCTGAATATTTTCATACGGGTTAACAATTTAAAAACTTAAAATGGATCATGAACTATAGATGATATCAGAAAAGTAAGACCTAATAAAAACGATTTACTTTGTATTCCTGGACTAGCATATTTAAAAAAAATTAATTAAGTAATGCCATCTTCTTTTTAAATAGGTATTTAATTATGTACTACTGAACCACCCTATATAGAATATAACTTATATCGTTAAAATCATTTTTACTGTACTCGAACAATTTTTAAATGACTCTTCTTGCGAATTGCATTGTGGTCAACCGGGATCATTTTATTGTTTATGCTTCGTCAATGAGGAAATTTAAAAAGTGAGAATATTCCATAATATTTATTCCTCGTACAAATATATCTAGCCAAGTTAGGTAAATACTTTGAATCAGCCATAAACTCGTCAATACTAAGAAGGTCTACTGGGAAGGCTAACAGGTATTAATTCAATTAAATAATTCTAATAAATTCGAGGTAAAACGGCTTAAAATGAAACATAACACTTTTACCTTTTAATTGATACTAAATTTTCTTTATACGCGCGATGATGTATATATGTCTACTTTTATCTCAACACGTACAGACTTGTATGTCAGTTTTCTCCGCGTCGTAATGAAAGTTTGTCGTCATGTCAAGCGAAGATGAATTAATGGCGTCGGTCACAAAGAAAATGGGTTAAAGATTGGCTATTAAAGAGGAACCAATATTTTCTTATTAATTTATTTATTTTGTAAAATTATTAATAAAAAATTCCCATTTCTTGTCAACTTTTTCAGACATTTCATAGATAGCAGATTAAACAATATTTAACGTAAATCAATAAAATCGTGTCAATTAAAACTTATTCAATATTAGCATTTTGCCGCGAATCATTGTTACGCCGCTGCATAGGAGGATTATGGGTAATTCGAGAAATATATTGTTGCCGGCCGACCATAATTCTTCAATGAGTCACCATTATTTAAAAATTGTAATAGTATAGATACATGCGATATGGCTATGTTAGATTTTATTAATTATTAAGTCAAATAATTATTTAGTTACCAAGTAATTACAGATAGAACATAATGCCAACAGCATCAAAAACTAATCACACTAGACTCTCAAGACAACTAAATCGTTTTGCCTGGAGGAGTCCTGGCGACGTTTCGCTACTACCGTAAGAGTTCCCTGCACTCCCCGCTCTTGACTGCCGATGTTCTTTACCGTACTACAATTAACAAAAATTTGTTTACCTGCTAACAGCTACGAATAGTTGGAGCATTTGTATCAGTCACATTTAAAAAATCGCAAATAGATTAGTGCGATTTGCCTACTCATCAGCTACAGAAATTAGGATGGAATATTTGGCTGTTTAAATATTTTTTTTTTGTTGGACTCTGTGATCATGAAATACAAAAAGCACTCCGTTTAGCCCGTTAAAAATAATGCATTAAGCTTTTACCTTGGCTGCCGACTTTTGCAAATTTTCTTGAATAAACGTCGAAATTGGAATTAAAATTTAATAATTATGCTTTAAAAATCCATAGGGTCAGGGCCGTACCAAGGCATACTTTCTGATTTTTTTTTATATATTAAGACTAAAAAATTGGTAGGGTAGGTAGATTTTGCCAACCGCGTTTGGATTTTTGGATTTGTAACCAACTACCTCGATCCGCTCCTACATAAGAACAACCTTAAGATATTGTTTATACTTTTCTTGCAGGCAAATTTTTAAATTGGTTTATGTTTTATTATCTATGGCTCTATTTCTCGAAAAAATAGTCCCAATTACCCCATAAATTTTTCTCAAAAAAAAGTAAATAAAGCAAGATGTTCGTTTCTTCGGAAAGAAAAATATTACCCGAACTTTTTGTGTTTTTGTTCATATAAATCCCAAATTTACAACACATTTGGAGATTCCCGTAGGTAGAGAAAATGGAGTCATTCCTTTAACGGTTTCACAATTTATTAGCTAAGAGACTGGCGGACCTCTAGATCTCGGCAGACACATTTTCGCCTTGTTTTATGTGTGTTTGAGAAAGTAAGAAAAAATGCGTTGGTGTAGGAAAAGTTTCCATTCCAACTATACACAGCATGAACAATGGCTGGATTATATAGGGCGTTTCTGTGGGAAAGGGACAAAAGTGCTTCAAAATAATCCTGTTAAATAAGGGATTTATAATCATTATTTGTGTTAACAGTTTTCTAATGCAAAAGTAAAATAAATCAACAACTGAAATCACGTATACCGACCTTTTATGTGTTCTGTGCCCTGCATACAGACATTCATTAACAATAAATAAAGTGTGATTAGCAAAAAAATGTTTCTAAAATTGTCGCTAACATGATTAAGGGGCGTAATTCAAAAATTCCGGTTTTTGAGTTAGGTCCATTAAAAGGCGTTTTCGGAATTTATATACAGTACTTACTATTTTGTATTAGGCATAGCCGTGCTTCTATAACGAACATGTGGCAACTACGATATTCCCGTTATCGCAATGTTCTCTGGTTTAGTCACTGATATTCGGTTCGGCTAATATCCCACCACCATAATATCTTCTAATTCTAGTCGACCGCGACGACTGGCTGTTGCTCTGTTGCCATTTTATTAACTTGTGTACTAGTCGTATGCCGAACACGAAAAAATAAGCACTGTACATTTATATATGTTATATATTGGCATTGACACAACTTTTAAAGTTGAAAAATCCAGATTTAAGTTAATTACTTAAATCTTGTAATTTTGATATATGCCTGTTCGTCTTGTTAATGACGAAATACGTTATGATCGACAAAGACAGAAATACGAGTCGCCAGTAATGACTACGTATGACTCTAAATTAAATCCAAACTGATAAAAAGAAATGGATGCTCAGATATTCGTGAATTTTTTCAAGACCTATTTTAGAAACATTTTTGTGGATCATTCACTATTTCAATCTCCGTATGAACGTACGTCTGATGGTTTGTTTGAGTACGCGATTTATTAATGAATGCAATTAGGATTACTGCTTCATATTGTTGCCACATTTCAAAATAAATGGTGTACTTTCCTCATCACTTTCAGCTACAATAATTGTTGCAACCAGAAAAAGACATTAAACATATAATAACTGGCATAAATAATGCACTTTAGAGCCTTATGGTAAGTAAATTTCGAATTATAATCATAAACCTTGTAACAAGACTCTCCAATTATAATTTGGCAACTACAAAATCCTGTAAAATAGATTTATTATTGACATGTATTTAAACCGTCAAAATATTTCTTTCTAATACAGTTAGTAATTTTTTTTATCAATTATTGATTTACTAACCTTTGTCAAAGTTACTTGTAAAGTACTTATGAGTATTTACGAAATTACTAATAATTTGATTATTAGTTTAACAATGTGATTTCCTAAAATGCCTAATCGAAACATTAATAGACTAACAAAGTACAGGGCCTAAATAATTTATCTGGATATCTACAATCTCTACTATCTTCACCTTAATTTTACGTCATTAATTATATAATTCCGAGCTCTGTTTATAAATATAGATATACTTTTTAAACATAGTTTTTAGGTAAATAACACTGTACGAATTTGGCGAGAAACAATATTTAATAAAGCAGTTTCAAAAGATGGGCAATGGTCTTATTTATCACACATCCCACAACTAGGCTTAGATAAAAGTGTATTTGTTGTGAAGTTAAAGCCTAAACCATTCCATCTCTAAATCGGAGTGTGATAGAACCGATTATGTTGGCATAACATAGCGGACCGACCACTCGTCATCATTCTGCTGTTGTAAAACATCTACAGGCGTTTCAGTCTTAAAAACAAACTGAATGAACACCTTATAAATTTATAATTCATTATGAGCCTTTATGTTTAGTCCGATTTTTGTGAAATTTTCAAGAAATACACCCAATAACAAAACATATGGTGGAGAAACCTTGTATTTTTTGTAAACCTTCGAAAAGTATTTATTTCAAAAACAACATGTTCGCGCCATTCTCTATTGCATCTATGAAAATTTACTGCTTTTTGTACTAATAAATATCTAGTAGTTTTTAAATGATATGCTTGCCCACCTTTTCCTTAAACGTCTCTAGAGAGAGCTGCTTTATCGTTGCACAAATTTAAAGCTCTTAGTATTGTCAAGACACATAATATTACGAAGTGTTTCCGGTAGCACACATATAAATACAATTTTATATTAGAAAATCCATAAAAAAAATTTGCTTTCGCGGGAAGCCGGTTTTCTCTTAAAGGGAAATATTTTATCTCAATTAATTTTCTCGCTAATTATTTTTTATTCTTATTTATTATTTCAGTAGATATTCATTGTTTTCTAAAAGTACCGAGTGTATAAATGAAAAAGGACTCTGGTTGTTGTTGGCTCTAAAATACAGCCGGTAACTCAGAAACTTTGCGCCATAGTGAAAATGGTAAAGCCATCTGCTACTAGTAAGAAAATCAAAGGTAGCTTGTAGTATCCAGTTGAAAACTAGGTGGAATAAAAAGCTAAGGCGGACAATGAAAAAAAAGTAACATAATTATAACTAAAACGTGACTAAGACCCAAAATAAAATAAATAAAACAAAGTCGTAATGTCACATAAAATACGAAAAACAACTACTTCTAGTAAGTAAAATCAAAGGTAAAGCATTAAAATTAAATGTTCTACTCTCTTTCCTTTGGATACAATTCAATACCTTTTGCTGTATCAGCTAAAGGAAAGAATAGCTCGTATTTTGTGTGACATATGGCTTTGCTTTATTTTATTTTACGTCTTTGTCATATTTGAGTTAAAATTAATTTCTTTCCTTAAAAAAAGTTGTTTTAATCGAACCTGTATATCTACCTCGATAAAACTGAAAACGTAACCTAAGTACTAATATTTTTGTATTATTCAGTATTACTTACTCCATCTTGGTTCTCCACAATGTCTTTTCCTACGGATGCCAATGTGGTCCACTTACAGTTGTTGATAGCCTTAGCAGCACATCTTTTATGCACCTTGCTCTTGCACACTTCGCACGAAAGGCCGTGACTAGTGACCCCGCTGAGGGCCTCTCGACATACGTTGCAGTAAGTCGGCCTAGCATGCGACGTTGCATACCTGCAATAAAAATAACTTGTTAATAATTTACAATAGTTAATAAATATTAATAATTTGAAAGCACAAAGGCCTACTATGGATGTTACACGTAGAAAAATATTTATTTTCTGTTTAAAATTCTATGATAGCATAAACACGGTATCACTGATACCAGGTGTCTGCGTGAAAACTTTGTATGGGGTAAAATTTTAGTTGATATTTTGGGACAGGAGACATGAGTGTACAGGGGGACATAATTCCATGGGTAGTTTGAGTTTTTGTAGTGAATAAAAATATTCTATCAAAATTTTAAATTAAAATATCTCAAAAAATGACTTTCGTAACTTGTAACTTTTTTTTATTAGGAATGAAATGAAAATAGTAGATTGTGCAACAAGAGTGGATATGATGGCCATATCGCACGAAGACGAAATTTGGGCACGACGCCGTATGCGGAGTGCTCAAGAGTCTGAGTGCAATATGGACAATCCACTCGAATTGTACGGTATATTTTTTCTACGACCCACTAACGGAAATCTACAAATTAAAAAAATATTGTAGGTTATTAAGACAAAATAACTAATTTTAAAATAATTTATGCATTTTACTGATTTTTAAAATAAAATAATTATGAAAAAAAAAAAAAAATTGGTCGCCAGCCGAGAATCGACCCCCGGCTTTTCGCGTGGAAGTCAAGTACTCTCTTCATGTCTCAATGGTCACGTTTACGATTTTGGTTTTAATACACGTAATTAAAATAATTTCATATAGTTTGTATAAAATTTAATTTTTGTTTCAAAATAGGGTTCAAATAAAAATCGAAATGCTATTATTTACGATTATTTATTAGACCAGAGCATACTGGCGCATTCGTTTGCAAAATTGTTTTAATTCGTAATTTTTTTTTTAAATGTCCGGAAGGCTTTCCTGATTATAAAAGTGAAAGATGACACTCGATATCTGTTGATGTTATTGTTTAAATAACGAAAAATTAATTAAGCCAGAAAAAATGCATTTTTTGCAACGGATTAATTTTTTTTTATATTTTTTAGGATATTTCGAATAAAAAAAGTCCCTACGCCCATCATCGTATCTTTAACCCTTTAATTGTTATGAATGTTTTAAAATCCGAAATTGACGAAAATTCTAATTTTCTTGAATTAAATAATATACCTTAAAATTTAAAATGCTATAATTTTAAATTTTTTACCGAATATTCAAACTATAATAAACAAAATAACCTAAATAAATTTTCAAAATTGTGTTTGTTGTTATGTTTTTTTTACGTTATAACAATATGCTTCCTACGCGCGTGTACTTTTAGAGAGAAGTACTTTTATCTCACTTCCAACTCAATGTATAAGATGGGTAAGAGAAAGCCCGATGACGCGCTAAATCAATTTTTTGCTGTTTTTCAACGGTAATAAGTTTAAAAAAATTATTATTAACATTTTTCATAACATATTATTTTCATCAATGGGGACAATATCATGAATCCATTGCGATAGAAGAATTTAAAAATAAATATGGGAAAACGGTACAAGAATGTGGATTATTTATTTATGAAAAACATCCATACTTGGGAGCAAGTCCAGACGGTATTATTAATAATAATAATAATGAAATAATTGAAATTAAATGTCCATATTCTTGTTCCAAATTGACACCTGAAATAAGAGTTCAAGAAAAAATTAAATATCTAGCCAATACAGATGGCCAAATTAAATTAAAAAAAAAAAAGATAATTATTATTATCAGGTACAAGGACAATTGGCTATAACGAAAGCAAAATATTGTTCGTTGAGAAAATTGAGAGAGATATTTAATAAAAGAATTTGTAAGAAGATATTGATGTATTTTACTTTTTTTGTGATTGTATTTTGTTATGTGAAATAAAATGTTTCAATAAAAATAGTAGCTAATTAAAGTTTTTTTTTTTATCTAAGTATTTAATTTATTTTGACCTATTTTTACTTTCAGTGAACGAAGAAAAGATAAAACCAATACATTATATTTTTTTATGAAATTAAAACAAAGCATACATATTATGTACAATAAAATATATGTACGATAAAATAGTTTTTAAAAAAATTTTCGTCTACACTACAAATTAATTGTGAGATTGATGTGATTTAGTTAAAAAAAAAACAAATATTTTACATTATGTACCACTATATTAAAGCACTTTTCAAAAATCAGTCTCTTACTTTAAATATACCGTAAATAAAGCCATCCAAAGCTTTTGCGCGGTTACCAAGTGTATATTATAGAATATAAATAAAACCAATTTAAATGTAGTTAATTATTTATTTAAAAAATAATTCCACTAGATGACCATCAAAAATCGTTAATCAATAGATACAAAAGAAAACTTTCGAATCCGTCGTCTAGGTGATAAATAACAATATTATCTGCAAATAAATTACTAACACAATAGTTGTTACAATATACAGACAAATTTGGCCAGCCCGCGTTTTAGGTGGAGTTGAATACCGAGAAAGATAGGCGTTCCATTAGATTGAACGAAGAAAGATTGAATTATTATACGTACAATTATCTCTACACAAACAGAGAAAGGGTTGCGTACAGACGTTTAGGTTGTTTTCAAATAACTTTATTTGTAGTGTTTCTATTCCAGGAATGTCGATAATGACTTAACTGAAAAAATATACCCCCATATACGGTCTATTATATTACATCTTTAAACAGTATAACCATTAATATTCCATAGACTATCAAGTTTGAGTGATGTTAGCCATGTTTCAGTTACGAATATGATATGAGGATTTATATTTAATTCAACAACAAGGTTATCAAATTTATATATAAGATTGTCTAAATTATTATATAGAATGAGCCTGCTTAAGAAGTTTAGAAGTCTAAAAAAGGTAATATTTTAAGAATGCCATTTCCGTATTTTATAATAAAATCAGATGGACCATTTTTATTTTTTGTTTCCAATTCTTGACGCAGTTTTGTCAGTATTTTTTGTAAAGTTGAAATTTAATCAATAATAATATATCATTTACAAGTTGAAGGCTATTAAGAAAGTTTCTTTTTATGCTAAGCGCTACAAATTCATTGATTATAGGTAGGTAATTATTTGTTTGCAGGATTTAATTTTCCTACGCCATAAAGAGTAACTGGAGAAGCACTAAAGTTTAATGTACTTAATAGTTTTTCAACTTTCAATATGTCATGATCTTTTTTTTATTTGTATCCTCATTTGATTCCGTAACTTCACGAATGAGAACGGTTTTTACTTTATTCATTATATCAACTGCCTCATGAGTTATTTCTACAATTACGAGTAAGTTGACGGTAAATTAGATGTGTTTAATTCCATACTTATATATATATGCAATGTCGTTTCTAAGACCATCCATGTTTATTTTGCATTTCTTGTTTAAATTGATCAAAAATCAGATCTCGATTTTTCATCTTAAAATACCCCCAAGTATCAAATTTCTAGCTAATAATAATATTAAGATAACTATTTACAAGAAAGTTAAAAAATAATAACACCCTGCATTTTGAGTTTTACTTTTGGACTAAGGTAAAATGGGCTAGTTCCCATAATTTAGTCTCAGGAAATTTTTACACCGTTTTGTACAGACCTTTTATAGGGTCAGCTTTTTTCTATTCCTATACATATTCATACACATTTTGCCGACCACACACGAGAGCATTTTTATTGATACAATCAGCTTTAAGACATCTAAACTGTACTAGAACTACAATAATTATTAAGAACAGGTATCGTAAACCTTGAAAAGTTCCGTCAAATTTTCCAACATTGACTGTGATGCATTAAATTAACAAATCTAATTAAGATTTATTGTCTAGCAGTCCAGTAAATGCCAACCATACATGTAAATTCCAGCCCAGAAATGGTAATAAAGTGGTGCAAAAATTTGAATTGTAAACGAAGTTTAAGAAATCAATGCCCGGGCGCCATATTGAATAAAATATAATGGAAAGAAAAACGTTTTAATTCACAGTATATTTTTGAATAATATTTGGTTTAGAAACGCTTTTATAAAATTTGTCATGTATAAAAATAGGAACATAAAAGAACAGGTGAAATAGAATTGAACTTCAGGCTAAATTTAATTTATAAAGCTAGCTGGTAAGTAAAATTTGATGTAGAGAAAATGTGGACAAACATACAAAGCATGTGAAGTAGGTAACGCGGGATTCCATTTGTTATTTTATATAACTAATGTATTTTTACAGAGTAAAATGGTATTTGTGCAACAAAAGTGGATGTATTTTATGACCCAAGTAAAAAAAGATAAGATTCTAGGAATGCCTACTGATATAGCCAAAACCACACACAAATTTAAATATCAGCCCGGCAATCCTGAAAACAGGGGCTTCTAATACAGTCTAAATTCGTCTGATATACAGATGGTTCAAAAACCAAGGAAAGAGCCTGTGTTGAAATATTTGGACTTAATTCGAAAATAATGATTTCGATGAGTCTAGAAGAATACTTAACAGTATTCCAGGCCAAACTAATAGCCATACAACACTGTGTAAAATAAATACTAAACCAGCAAGTATCAGGCAAAACTATTTATTACCATCTACTCTGACAGGTAAGCACTTCTAAAAGCAATTATTTTACCAGAAATCAAATCACTACTAATGAAAGACTGCCTAGAAGACTTGACAGAGCTAAATAGTCAATAAAAAGTGACATTACCCTGAGTATCAGGCCACGAAGAATATCAAGGCAATGAAAAGGCGACGAGCTAGCGCGAAAAGGCTCAGATGAAGCCATGCCAGGCCCCGAACCCTTCTCGATAGCAACTTCTTAGTTGCTATGGCATTGTGCAAGGCATCCATCAAACAATAAAACAATAAAAAGAGTCTCAGGAATGGTGGAAAAATCATCTAGAATTGAGACAAGCCAAAGAATTCATAAGGAACCGTCGATCAAGTATACGAAAACTCTACTGGATCAAATACGACATATAGTTATGATAACAGAAAGAAGAAGAGAAAACATCAATCTACGTTATGTTACAGTTTGAAGGCCTGGCTTGTTTAGGGTTTCTAATACTAGGTGAAGAAAAGTAAGAAGCATGTAACTACATGACGAAGCCGTTGTCAAAGCTACTTAGTCTAATATAAAAGATCAGGCTATACGACACACTCTACGTAACGGAGATCCAAAATATATCTGAAAAGGTCGCGATGGACAAGGACAAATAATATCCAATAAAATAGATGTAATTAATTTAAAGGTCATTAAAATAAAATGATTGTTTTAAATAGATTACAAAGATTTGAGTTTATGACTTTAACTAAATTATAAAATAAAATAAACTGAGAAATAAGGTATGTACAAACTACAGAACGAATTAGTAGGCGATATCTACTAAATTGATTTTACATTCTTCCTAGTATTAATACGAAATCCACTAAGTTTCTATTATTTTCTAAAATTTTAACTGAATAACAAGTCTGTCAAACCAATTGCCAGTATGTTTTTAATAATTAAGGTTTAGCGTTGTTTTTATTAAAAATTAAGTGATTCTGATAAATAATCGATAAATAATATCAATTTAAGATACACAATTACAAAGAAACCGTAAATTTTAATAAAATAATTTGTTGGAAATTCATACAACATATTGCATTAATTTATAAAGCTAGTCCGGCTCCTGAGGGCCAAACTAATTAATTAAGTAATAACCAAACAAGTCCCTTTGAAAAATAGTATATGAATCAAAGAAACTAAAAACGTCAACCCTGTATAACAAATTCCAGAGAATCACCCGTCGTAACATTACGTATCGACCTAGATCTCTCTCACGCCCGACAAAAGCAATTAAAAAAAAGACTGTTAAAATAATTTTAACTAATCAAATAACGATACACGCAACATTTCGGAACTGACAGTGTTGTTCTTGGGCAAAAAAAATCGTTATAGACAGGCGTACACATACTTTGATTTTATTTTACTATACGGAGAACGGTCGTACTGCGCAGCTTTCTGAGTGCCTTTTAAAAGGAGATAGAAAACTCCGCCATTTTGAACCCTTATTACGTGCATTTTAATCATCCGCTTCTGCTTCGGAATTGTCGGTTTTCTTGTTTTAATCTGACAGGTTAGAACGACTGAACCGACAATTCCGGAAGCAGAAGCGGATGATTAAAACGCACCTGATATTTTGCTTGCTGCTGTCAGTGTCAGTGAATATTATTTTTGGAGTCACAGTTTATTGCTAAAGAATCAGTTAGCTCACTCGGACCAGTTGAAAGTTCAAAAATTACATTCACTCCAGGAATACAAATTCAGGATACGCAGAAGACTGCTGTTTTATTATAGGCGGTTGTAATATATTGTATTATCTGAGTTGCACAGTGTATAAACTAGAACATTGAGATCAAAAGTGCCGACGCAGAGTGAGCGATCTGATTCTTTAGCTGTAAACTGTGTCAAAGGAATCAAAATGGCCGCTCCCTATGTTGGGCGTGTCGGACCTCTCTCTTGCCCCGTATAGTAATCAAAGTATGTGCAGGCGTATTAAAACGTAATAAAATTCAGTAAAAGGTGATAGATTTTAGGAAAAGGTACTAAATGTCATCTTAAGATAGGATTATTTTTCATTTGGGCGCATGGGCACATTTCAAAATTTACTTTCTTTTAACATCACAAAAAAATCCGTCAGCTGTATTGTTCCAGACCTAATCCAAACTGTTTAAGCATGCGCGATTTAAAGATAGTAATATTTTTAAATTGTGCTCACTGAAAATGTAGAAATTGATTGTATATGAGGCATTTTTCTTAAATGAATAGTAATAGATTTTAGAAAAACGTAATAACGTAACATTTAAACCAAAAAATTAATAGATTTATTAAGAACAACCCTGACACCAGATCATGTTTTAAAGATAATAGGTGGGACACGAGGGCATAAAAAGGAAATGCCATTTCCTACAGATTGGGAGGGGCTTATTCTCTAACCAGCGTTTTTAAAAGCGTCAGGTATCGGTAAAAGGTATAGTTTGAACTAAAACCATGTTTTAGTTTCAAAGAATTAACACTCGTGGCGCTGTACATACAATTTACAGAAATCCACAATTGATGGTGGAAAGAGTGGGACTTGGGGGAGGAGTGTCATTTGTCATTGGTCATTGGCATCCATTACCAGTATTTTTTGTGATTAATATCATAATATTGTTAATAAGGCCGGGCACCAGGACAATTCTCTAGATCGGCCCCGTGACAAGTAAAAAATATTGTCTCCTCTTTACTCAAATTTCTAAAAAAAAGGTCTCCAACCAAAAACTTCCCTCTCTTGTCTTGTGCCAAACTTCTGAAAGAAATACCGCTGCCGAGACCCTATTTGAGTCCGGGTCCCGGGAATTAGTCCCGGCTGCCCCCCCTCTAGTCGGCCCTGTCTAGAACCAATTTATCAATTTAAAAATATATACTATATGTATTGATAGCGCAAGAGTTGCAGTGATGAGTCTCCATGAGGAATAGGAGTCACGGGAGTTCTTATAGCAGCCAAAATAAATAACCAGAAACATTATCGCTAGAAGGAACATGCTGGTCTATACAGATAGGTAGCAGACAAGCACTACTCACCATACCTACAGACCAACAGACCACGAATTAATTCAACGTTAGTACTAGAATGTTTTGGGCAAAGTATCTATCAACAATGTGGTCACTTTAAGATGGATTAAAAGCCACGCCTCATCGAAAGGTAGCCACACCAAGAAGTAACCTTTTTGCCGATCCACTATCCAAAAAGGCAGCCAACCAAATACTTTTTGGATTTGGCTTTTCCATTGTAATAACAACCAATGGTCGTGACAAACTTTATTATCTTAAACACATTCGCCTGGGAAATTTAAGAAAAACTAGACAAAGTCCGCTCATAATCACTGACATTCTTACTAAGTCTCACTGCTAAGTACGGAAGCATCTCCATAACATGGTGCTGTCAGACTCCGCACTCTGCAAGGGGGTGCGGACAAGAAAATGACACTCGAGCATATCCTCATCTATTAAAAAAATTGTGTTCAGTGAATATCGGCCAATTACAGCCGACATAAGAGAGACACATCATGGCGACGTTGTAAACTACATCAAATCTGTAGGATGGCTGACCAGATAAGAGAGGTCTTTCTAATTATCAGGATGCACAATGGACTTAGTGAAGCCGAAGTGCCGTGAGGTAACCCATCCTCTATACCTTATAGGTACAGATAGTCAAGAATCGATAAATAATGACAATATACAAGATATTTGTCTAATTTTCAAAGAAACCGTAAATATTAATAAAATTATCTAAAAACAATTTATTTTTAAAAAAATTTTATAATGTATGAGTTGATAGTACAGAAATTGCATTAGTGAGATTCCATACGGAAGGTTTGGGGTGCAATTCCAGGACGAAAAAAATTATTTTTTTAATTTTATATTATATTTTAGTTAGTCATAAATTATACAAAAATAGTTATTTTATCTTATTAAATTTAAAATTAATTTAGTAAGTTTTATTTGGTAGGTAGTAGAAAAAATATAATACACTATTCGAGTGGATTGTCTTTATCGCATTGAGGCTCCATCTTTGTGCGACATGGCCATTCTAGTCACTCTTGTTACACAATACAATATGGTCAATGTACTAATCCTGTCACTTGTCCTGGGTTAAAAAATTAAAACAAACTTTTACTACTCCTATCTTTTACAATGAATAGATCCATGTACTCGTATATCACATAAAACATGAACAGCATAGAACAGTAGCATAGGCCTACAGTCCAAATCCTAACTGGTAGAACATTGCCAAAGAATGATCCACAAAAAATGTTTCTAAAGTAGGCCATTACTGAGAAAGAAGGAGATACGAGTCATGTTTGTGATAACTACCCACGGTTCTGAATTAAATCCAAACTGACACTATTCTGTGACGTAGACAAACACATACAAAACGGCTAGTAAATAATTAATTTCTTACCAATGATGTTGACCAGAAAGACAATCCGGTTGCTCCGGTTCATGATATCGGCGCTGGGAAGCGGCAGTGAGTGCGCCAAGCCACTCTTCCATCTCTCTTCTTGATTCACAGCAAAGCACCAATGATCGGAAAGGAGTTATCACCTGTAAAAAAAAAACACAAATATAAACCAGAGAAACACAAAAACCAAGATATCAGATCAACTTTTTCAGCATTGAACTTTTTAATAATACTAGATTTAGGGCGATAGGTCTTGGTACACACTTGGGGGGCTAATTTCAAAGTCGAGAGAAAGGCGTTCTCGTAGTAGTTTTATGAGAAATGTCATATGTCAACGTGGACGCAATATTTGTTATTAATTTGAGTTATTAATAAAAACCTATTTCTTTTTAGTAAAAGTTTGACACCCCGTAACTCATAAACGAAGTTAGTTAGGACACACGTTTATGTGAACTTTTTTTTATAACATGACAAGGAATCACCACCTTAAATTAATAATATCATATGTTGTGGAGAGCTTAGCTCTTCATTCAGACAATCACTATTCTAGGTACTTCTGATTTATTATGAAGATTAAGAATAAGAGTTTGCCTGCAGAACCTAATACTAATGATTTGAAAAAGTGGTAGATTTTTTGGACTCACAACTGAACACCTATTTTTAAAACACATTCTCTACATTTATATACGTTGTGTTGTATGCTGTACATGTGTGAGATTAAGTTAGGATAGTTAGGTTAAAATAAAGCGGAACACCTACACCTACACGTACACAAAAATTACCTGCTTGAATTTCGAGGGTCGCCTTAAAGCAGTAAGAAATTATTTCAACACTAAAGTTTTACAAATATTTAATGATAATTACCTCTTTTTTAATTAAAAAAAGTTTATTGTCATAATTACTGAATCAATAAATTCTAATAGTGTTGCTTGTTTCGCCAATAAGCTACGGGCACTTTCTTTAGACATTTCTTTGCTTAATAAATTGTTAAATGTAATAATTACTTAAAAATTACGACTCACAACCGCATTGGTATAATAGTAACTCAAGCGGTCTTGGCCGGGCCAATGGTATCGCGGAGTTCGTGGATACAGACAGCTATCGATAAACACTCTCTCACACTGCCACTGCAACTTATAGCACCACTCACTCACACGCATACGTAATTTTCTCGATCACCTGGCAGGTAGAATGTCCCACCGGAATATTTTTTTTAATTATAAATACCTAATAGGTTTGTTCGTAGAGCGATCCACAACCGTTTCCGACTGAACAGCGTGTGTGCATGAAATATTTTGCGTTCGTAGAAGAATCACTGATAGTTTCTAATTATTAGTTTGGCGTTCGTAGAAACAAATGAAGTGATTTCTATCTGATTGAAACCGGTTGGAAAAATCCCTGTCTATTCTCCGGATTTTAAATCCGGGGCATGCGCACATGAAATATGTTTAATAACCTATATTTGACATTTGTTTGGCGTGAAATTTATGTGTTTATCATTCGTCCGTGCTTTTGTTTATTTGATTAGTTGTTTTTCATAAGTGTAATTAATACATATACATAAAATTTAATAAATATGCAATTACATATGACCACAAAGACATACCATCCATTATCCTGATAAAATATCAGCCTTTCCCAGTAAACCACATCCCAGTAAACCACAAATAGTCGACATTCGCTCGGCCTGACACCGGCATGTACCGGAAGCCGAGTACTCGGATTGCCGTAGTCGGGGTTTCTTCTGAGCCGGGAGGACCGTACCATTTGACGTAATTTAGAAGTAGAAACCACATATGGTCCATATTTGGCCTATATATATATATATGTCGAAGCACCACTCCCCAGCCAGGTCCTCAGCTCTGTGTTAGGGTATTATAGAAGAGGAATAGGAGAAGTTTTCAGCTAGCCTTAAATATCTACCCAAAAATGTCTACCAGATCTCTTACTAAATGTTTTATATTTAAGAAATTTTGTGACTCCGGTAAACTGACCATCCCCAACACTAAGTGCGCAAATAATAATGGAAGTGTTGAATTATTTATTTCAATTTTTTTCACTATTAAATCGCATAGCCATGTTTTGACAGAAGACAAGCAAAATTTGCTAATACGTTCGGAAAAAAAATATAAGCTCAAGGTCCATGAAAATCACGTCTTCAACATTAACATCTTTAGGCTCGTATCTCTGAGGTGTAATAAAGAACTTACCTCGATTGATATATCTTACGTTACCATATCCATCATAGTTTACTATCTGTCTCTCATAGACCCCTGTAACTGGTTTTTTAATTATTCACTATTATTTAGAATAACTTATTTAAAAATGGATGAGAGCATACCAAGTCGTAATAGCAAAAAGTGTAAAGTGTTTTATCTACAACTGTCATTATATGGATGTATTATATGCGTATCTAAGGCAACATAAAGCAATCCAAATATCACTAGCGAGAATATATTCATATTACACGATTTTTGTCAATTATACCCCACTAGAATTAAAAATCATTAGATCTAGTATGCGTTTGACAAGTTAGTTGACAGCATGTTGATAGTTATTCGTTGTTCCCGATTCTTTTTTAAAATTAAATTTAAAATATTAAGCCCGTTTTAAGTGTTTATCAATTAAAAAAATGGAAGACGATGATTACATGGAACACCTCCTGAAATCCGCGACGCTGCTAAAGTGGCGTCGTTGGAATTATTACCTGAAATATCGAGGAAAAATTATGAGATTGCATACAACAAATTTATGTCGTAGAAACAAACAAAAAAGTATCCTCTTTTTCCGAAGACTCTGTGCTTGTATATTTTATGGAAATTTCTAGTAAATACAAATCGTCTAATTTATGGACAAACTATTCCATGCTAAAAGGCATGTTAAACATCAAGCACAATGTCGACATTGATTAATATCCGAGATTACGTGTTTTGTTGAAAAGACGATCCGAAAATTACGAACCTTAGAAATCTGAAGCTCTGACTGGTGAACAAATTGAGAGGTTTATAAAAGAAGCCCCAGATTTTAAATATTTTGGAACAAAGGTAAAAACTCGAATCGAAAATCAAAATTCTTTAACTTAATCTACACATTTTTTAAAGGTTGCCTTGATTATGGGGGTCATGGGTGCTTGCCGATATTGTGAATTAAAGAATATGAAAATTGGGGATTTAAGATGTTTTGAGGGATGTTTTCAAGTAAACGTGCCACACACAAAAACCAAAGTCCCAAGGAATTTCACAATTGTGGATAATTTTTTCAAAATCATTAAAAAATATATGAACCGCCGGCCCGAAAATGCACCACAAGATTTTTTTCTCAATTTCCAAAAAGGAAAGTGTACAAAACAAGTGATAGGAATAAACAAGTTTAGCGCAATGGGAAAGCAAATGACTACGTTTTTACAATTACCAAACCCTGAGAGATATACTGGCCATTGCCTCAGGCGTTCATCTGCAACATTGGTTGCTGATTCTGGAGCTTCAATGACAACATTAAAACCTCATGGAGGCTGGAAATCCGCCTCTACAGCAGAAGGGTATATGGCCAATTCAAAAAAGAACAAAATAGAAACAGCTCAAGCAATTTTAAAAGTCAAATAAATAATGAAAATTGTGTTGGTCTTAATAATCCATCATCTTCTGACAGTGATCGTTATGATTCTGTACTCATCAATAGCAACACTAATTGTTCTTTAAAAAACAATAATCTCAATGATATTACCGGAGCTATTAATATATCAAATTGTAATGTTACTATTAATTACATCAATAAATAACTTTAAACGAGTTCCTATATAAATTGGCGTTTTATTTCACACGGTGGCTTAAATACTCCTGATTTGAAAGGTCTTTTAATTGTGAACAATCTTGTCAATTCTATTTATAACAACTTCAAAGAATTTTTTCTAAAAATCCCCTTTTCGTTTTCGGTGAGCCCCCGTATTCAGTTGTAGATAAAGTATAGTATTCAATTCGTGTATAATGGACCATACTACACTCGAATATTTACAACACTCGTGTAATATGGTCAACATTATACACTTATTGAATAATATACTATTAATTTATCTCTATCTCTAGGTAAACGAACAATAATAAAAAAACGCATATGAAACTTTAAAACAACCTGTATATAATTTTTGTTACATAGTACTTTTTTGAAGAAATAAACGTCAAATAAATATTTTTTTACACTTTGAAAATAGAATCGTGATTTGGAGCACACATTCATGTTTACGAAGTATTACTGTTCGTAGCGTATTTTCCGGGAACATTTTTTTTGTTTTGTTTTTTCGAATAAAAAGCAGGAAAGTTCGTTAACTACCTATTGACTTTTCGAGTAAACAGAAACCGCAAATTGACGGAAAATGTTGATGTCAGAATAATTTACGACTAAAATCAGTTTTGTTATATATAAAATCAATATTTCAGTAGGGTCATTGTTAAATATGTTATTATCTCAGTTCCGTATATTTTCTTATAAATTAAAAATACAGCTCAAATTGGAGAAACAGTTTTGTTAGTATTTGAAACAACGACGAAAACCTACTAGAGTAATCTATTCAATCACAATTAAGCACTTATTTATTGCAATCATTCAGATTCAGAAAGGGCTGTCGCATCTGCTGCCGCATTAAAAAGAACGAGACGGCTGCTAATTTGAGTGGGGATGGTTTGTGCAAGTTTGTTTATCTGAGGAGCGAGAATGTGTTTTATGAATGAATTAGTACTTATATCTGCGACGTTTTAAACTGCTGTCACACTTTCGAACCTTTCTGGAAATCACCTTTAACAATGATAGTTGCAACGAGAAACATACATTACCCTGATAATAACTGATATTAAGAATGTAAATGAATCGGTTATTTGGAAAAGGGAACATGTCCAAAAATAGAAATTTAGGTTATCATTTTTAATTTCTGTTATAAAGGAGCGGCATTTCACCTTTAATGCCCGGGGCGGCAAAGCTAGCGTCGGCCCAGAGACTAACCGTGATGTCAAAAATATGTTTAGGTATGTATGAAACTGCTAATAAGTTTTCTCTTGTTTCGCATCCCGTTCGGATTATAAAAACATATTTTGTATTTTTTGTGGTTTCGTTTCATCCGTAATTTCAAATCGAATGCAATAATTGCATTTAA